GGAGGAGAAGAGAGTTGAGTGCCTAGCTATGGAGGGAGTAATAGTAGAGGCCAAACGGGGCTAAGGAGATAGGAGGACAGCAGTAGTGGTTGAAAGGAGGAGGGAAACGGGAGGAAGACTTACCTTTGGCTATGGTGAACCTTCATCTTCACTTGCCTACCTGGCACTGCGACAAGAAGGCCCTAGGGGACCGGCTGGACTTCAACTTCATCCGAGAGGCAGGCTATGGCAGCAGGAGGAGGGAGGCACATAGCAGTAGTTGCATTGTCTGTTGAACATCCGTGTATGGTAGGGATGATCCGCCATAACTCATGTAGGTGGTGAGAAGAGAGAGAGGATTGCTAAAGGGGAGGGGAGATCTTTTTACAAAGGTAGTAAGGGGATCTTTCGGTCGTTGATTCTTGTTCATTCATTCAATCATTCATTCTTATTACATTTTATAATAACAAGTGGACCTGCCGCACAGAAGAGGGGGGGGAGACGAGGCAGGCAGGGAGGGCAGCAAACAAATATTCAGATGAAGGCTGCAGAAAAAAGAAAAAAAAAAAAAAGAAAAAAAAAAAAACAATAGCGAGGAAAGGGAATTTCTAAAATCAAAATTGGAGGAAAGTTGCAGAGAGGACCACCAGATCCGGGAAAAACAAACATGATTTCACGGAAGGGAGAAAAAAAAAAAGAAGGCCCGGGTTTCACGGAAGGGGCAAAATAAAAAGAAGGCCAGGCTAACAGGCTTCATGTCGGAATCTCACAGACAATCAGGGATCGAATCTCAACTGCAACTGAACGTCGACCTTACACTCCTCCTCCTCCTCCTCCTCCTCCTCCTCCTCCTCCTCCTCCTCCTCCTTTTCCTCCTCTTTCCTGGACCTTCCGCGTCTCTTCCTCCTCTCCCCCCTCCTCCTCCTCCACTTTTTCACCTCTACCGTCTCTCCCGAAAGCCAAGTCCAATCATTCGACGAAACGTGAATGGAATTCAATGGATGAGACGTTGCAAAATCACCAAGGCGGGCGGGCGGGCGGGGGGGGGGGAGCCGAGGAGGAGGAGGTTGAAAAGGACAACGAGCCGAGAGGGAGTCTAACGTGGACGGTGGAAATTTACGATCAAGATAACGATGATGATGATCACGCATAAGAGAGGAGGGGAGAAGAGGAGAAGATGAGGATGGAGGAAAGAGGAGGCCGGAGCAAGGAGTAGCGGGAGGAGGAGCAGCGGGAGTGGTCGGGGTGATGAGGAGGAGACACAGGTGAAGAGAGGAGCGGGAATGGCAGGAGGGGCGGGAGAGGGAGGAAGAGGTGAGGAAGCGGATAGTGCGGAGGACGTGGAGGACGAGGAGGAGGATGGAGGGAAGAGGAGATCGCAGCAAGCAGCAGAGGAGACGTTGGGAGAGGAAAAAGAGGAGCGGGAAGAGGACGAGAGGGATGGTGGAGAAAGTGGAGGAGGAGGTTGAGGAAGTGGAGGAGTAGGAGGAGGAGGAAGAGGAAGAGGAGCAGGAGGCGGGATGAGATATCCCTTCAAATTGGAATGATAGAAAGATGATTAGCATGGCACCTGTGTAAGGATGACACGCATAAACCGAGGGATGGTAAAAATTTATCAAAACCAAGATAAAAAAAGAGATGGAACATACTTCTACAATTTCCCATTTTTCTGACATCGAACATACTTCTACGATTTCCCATCTTCTGACAACAAATAAATAAAGAGTCAAAAACATGAGAGGGGAGGAAGAGGGGGAAGACGAGAGCGGGGAGGAGGAGGAGCAGGAGGAGGAGGACGAGGAAGGCGAGGAGAGGGAAGAAGAACAACAACGAAAGATGGGGAGGGGCTAGGCCTCACGGCACAGGGGGAGGGGGAGAGAGAGAGAGAGAGAGAGAGAGAGAGAGAGAGAGAGAGAGAGAGAGCTGTCTCTTATACACATCTAGATGTGTATAAGAGACAGGTCTTAGTGAGTTCTAGAAGTCATAGCTGTAGCGTTTCTGAAAGGTCAAGTTCGTAGCTGCTACAGCCCTGAAAGGTCAAGGTCTTAGCTGCTACAGTGTCGAAGGGCCAAGTCCACAGACTTCCGGAAGGTCTGGAAGTGGCCCT